CAACGCACGTAATTGACCAAGTCCACCAAGTTTAAGCGCGCAAACATCCACAGAGTTATTACTTTCTCATCCCATGTCCAGCTTGGATAATGGAGAGCGCATTCGAGAAGCCAAAAGCGTTAGATTTATATTTAAATACATGTCCGAGTCAAGATGTGTCCAACCATGAATAATGCAGTCGAGCAAGCGTGATCCGCGAGCTAACATGCTCGTGTATACTAGCACATCGGGAAGGCTCATCAAGTAAGCACGCTGATGCTGTCGAATGAGACAAGATAGAGACGTGAATTGGTGAGAGAAAAAACACGCGTTCGGTCTGAAGCCACAATTGCACGCGTGCTCAATGTCCTTTGACAACAGAGCATACGCATAATCCGTCCGCCTATCACCCTCTTCTCTCACATAAAACTTCGCGAAGCTTACTAGCCGGCCGCCAGCGTACTAAAGATCAATCTGTTTGGTTTCTTGCTACGTTCGTAGGGCGACATCCAAGTTGCACGCTTAACATTAACTTGAGTTCGCACTTCGGCAACTCGATGGACGCGTAAGATGTAGCCCTCCATCAACGACGACGTCATCGTGCTGATGATTTTGTGGACTTGTTTGTTTGCACGGGCGTTCATAAATTGTTGTGTCGGCTGGCGGGTCTCTCATTCTATAGTCCGGGGACCAACAATGTTTCCACGGTGTTGCATCATGACAAAGCCCCACAACAACGATCTATGGATTCCACGCATCCTCGATAGAATGATATTGTTTTGCAGCTATTGTTCTCGTCCCTCGCACCATGACACAAGTTACTTCTTGTTTGCGGGAGCGCTACCCATTTCCACTCATCTATCTCCACCGTTGTATGGAAGCATTTTTGTGGCCTTTCAGTTGTCGAGCTAGCACTTGATCGTGGAATCGGTAAACTTGCCTTTTCAAGGCCTTCGTGTTGAAGTGATTGAAGTTGTGTAAGACGACTCAACAAATCTAATGGAGTCGCAGTTTTGCCGCGAACGAGCCACCATGTACGGTTAGCGTGGCAGCTTTATTCGATTGCGGGTCGGCATTGAGCTCTGGAAATAAATCCAGGCACAACGAGTGTGTCCTGATGCCACCGCCCTGGTGCAGCTGTAGGTAGTGCATCGTCTCACTTGTTCAGGCGAGTCCAGTTTTGCACAATGGATCAGTGTGGAAGAGTTATGACTAGCGCCATACAACGTTCCAATTAAACGCCGCCGGCGCCTATCGAGAAGTCTGGAACGGTTTTAGCGGTTGCTATGATGATCACGCATGGTAGCTCAACATCATGCAGTTCACCTCCCACGACCTTCATCGCATTTTTTGCACTAAGCAGTGATCGACATAAATCCGGTAATCAAACACCGTACCAGCAAAGCGGACTTAGTTGCAATCCTATTGCCCCTTAACTAAATTAGCACTACCGACTTGGAGCAGGCCTAACTCTCTTTGCCAAAGCCTGTTACATGTATGGTACAAGTTGCATGCAGTTGCTTGCCTTTGATATGGCTGTAGAAGCGCTGCAGAACGGCGCTTGGAAGTGCTGAAAGACTCATAAAAACATGTACCTTTCCCTAATGAAATCGTAGCAGAGCTGAAGCGAGTCAATAAGTGCCGGTGGCAACACGATCAGTAGCAGCAGTACTTCGCTTGCCATGTAAAGGCTATGATCCCATTACGTCGGCTCAAGGGGATAAGCAGATCGCTGAAGTACTGGAAGCGAGAAAGAATGACGATGGGGTGGATGCTATAATAGTATACGTGGAACACATGGCGGATACATTTGGGAAAGACAAGTATCCGGGTGAACTGCCTGACTGTTGCGTGTGTTAACCAGCATGTAAATCGTGCGTGATCCAGTGACTACGCCGAACGCACGATCTTCGCGTATGTGAACAGATGAATTTGCTGATCGCTTGTCGTAACGTAGATACTGACGACTCTGTGTGGAAGCACATGTGCGCTCGAATGGAGGAATTTATCCGTTGACGCGCGAGCAACTAACACGAGACATGCTTCGGTCTAACACCTTGCTACGCGCTGCAATTCAAGTTTACCTTCGACAAGAATGCATGGGCATACGAAGATCAGTGCGTGTCTGGACACTGGTGAAAGAGCAACGAGCGTACACGAAAATGTGTCAAAGCGACGTGTAATCCCACTCAACGTATGCAGACTAAAAGGCGCACACAACAGAACGCGTTCTTAGGACCTTGTATGATGTGAAAGGATGGTTGCAATTGAAAGTACAAAGGACACAATTGCTGATTGACAGCATCGATTCCTAAAAGACCGGATGGCTAACTGAAGGATTGGTAGAGGTTTTTGCTCCCTTACAAAGGTAAGCCGGTATATGAAGGTGTAAGGCTCACTTGCATGTCTGTTGTCTCTAACAGCCAAAGTTCTGCTTGCAATATTGCTGAAGGTTCTGTCGACGTGTGAGACACGACATAGTATAGGCACAAGTATCGAATGCTAGTGAGTATCTGACTTCAGATATTGAGGCCGGATCTAAGCTATACTCGACCAGACAGAGTAGCTCCTTGGAACTTGTAAGGCTGTACAGACTGCATTCTTACTTATCTAGCAGACATGCAAAAAGATGCTTTTGTATGGAAACACAAAGCGGGTCCTTCCTGATACTTGCAGACCCAAAGCAACTGTATTCAAGCACTTCGCTATTCCTCTGTAAGAAATGTTGACCTTCTCTTGCATCGCAGTCTGATGATGTATGATCCACAATAGCCGTGTCTGGGAATCTGTTAAGAGGACCTGAATCGCCCTGGCTTGTAGGCGAAACTAGGATGCAAGTATGACATGAAAAGCTGAAAGAAAAGGCTTACACAACGTATTCACGAGTTATGCCGAGCACATCTAAATGAACGAACTATGGTTGGGAATGAATCGCGGGGTCACACGTGGCTGATCGTGTTGAAAACGACATACTATAGGACCACATCTCGAATCTAATTTATTGGTTTCTATGCGTTTCTGGTATTGACATCTCTCCGCTAGGCACATCTAGTTGCGCTCCACCATCCTTACGAAGATTGTACTTGTGGACTTCACTCGAGAGTTTTAGTCGGGTACATACAATCGACCTGTACTATCATAAGAAAGCATCTGAACAATGTGGACCCGGTCGCCATGCAGGGCGCAATATCCTTTGACACTGCTGGTCATATGTTGTGACTGCAGTCGGTAACCACTACTGCTGTATTTGTTGACAGCAAAACTTCCTAAGCTCAAGTAAATCGTGACCATCATGCGCCATCCAAGGGCTCTCTTGGGGCCGTTCTTGTAATAATTGCGCAAGATTGGCACAAACTCTCCATACGAAGCGTGCTATGAGTATTCTTCACTCGGAGGTTGCATCATACCATATAAATTCCATCTGTCAAAATTGTGTATGCTGACAACACTGCGGAAAATCAAACGAGCGTTGGTATGATTCACCTACCGGGCTCGTGTCGATAAAATTGGGGCGCTGAGGGCGAGGCGTACAGCTGTCGTACGATGCGTACACGACCCACTTACAATTGACAAGTGAACCATGACCAACGGGATAGCAAAATTCCACCCAGTACTTCTACTGCGTCACTGCCTACAACATGCACGTACCAGCACAACTCCACCATCAAAAAATGTGTTCAATTGCACGTCGCGAAACCTCGACTCGTTTGGTCAGCAACCGGCTATTTGGAGACCAAGTAGGTGACAATGAAGCGCCCACAATTGAGAGCACCGTGGCCTTGTCCTTGATAACGTCAATTATCGAATCGAGCGTACACATCAAGCGTCCAGTAAGACTGAGTGGAAACACGTGCGAATGTCGTGCGACTCTGTCCGCTGGTGTGGCCTTCGCATCAGCATAATATTCTCAAGTGCCGGTCGGATCAGTAGATTTGCTGTAGTGTTAGCATTCCCTTCGTGGTGATCCAGCATCACTTTGATTAACACTGTGAAAACTTTGGTGCCTGATCCACCAAAACCATCAGGTATCACCTCCCCATGGATGTTCATCCCACAACGACCGTCCTATTCCGATAACTGTCAAGTGCACACATCGAAACATCGTATGGCGCGTTCTCCAAACCACTGTCAACTCTGCTATCTCTTTTTAGCATAACTGACATGCTCCGACAAATTATGCTTCGTTATTGATACGTTTGTCGCATCGAAAGCAAACGTGCGGACGTTATTGCGCTAAACAATGCTCACATCCGATTCATTTGTCATCCTCTGCGGCAAATTGATCGAGATCATCTTCGTGCATTGGGCACTTTCGAAAGGGGTTGAGCGGCAACGGACAAAAGCGGTAGCCAGAGATACTGAAGGAAATCAAAGCGACAAGCTTAAAACTGTCACCTCCACCTAAGTAGCGACATAAACAAGCTCGCTTACAGAAGTTGCAGCACCAACTGAGTCATGTAGATGCAGCGAACGACGAGCGGATAGAATGATCGACATTGCTCGAGTTTTTGGAGGTTAGCAAACACTTTTCCGTCTGCCGCAGCAGCAACTCAGAAACGGCAAGTGACTAGACGATGGCCAGCGGCACAACAAGTCACATCTGCAAGAGCCAAGATGTCCCGCCAGTTCACCCGAGCACGTGTACCCGCAGCGGTCTCCTCCTGTAAGATATAGGCAGCGTTACTAGCGATCTCTAACACTAACGACACCACGGACTCGTCCGGTTGCGACAAGTAAGCCTTCAGTACTGATCACCCCGGGCTAATGAACAACACCACCGGAAACAGCAATTTCCTTCTTTTTGCAGACTCCCAAACGTGCACGCCAGTGCAGTACACGAAGTAAGAACGTCGCGGTGCCATTTCATGTACCATGTGCTCATCCCTTCAGCAACGAGTGCCACCACCATACCTTTAGCAGAGCCATCAGCCAATGTACTCGCTGGAATCGCTCAAGATTCTTGACTAGACACCACCACTAAGCTAACGCAGCACTCGAGAATAGCAAACTCATCGCGAAAACTATACAATCGGCCAAGTGCGTCTTCTGCCGCCAAACGCTTTGAGCTCCGTTACTGAACATTTGCGACCATCTACGTGGCACCACAATCTAGTCCGAACCAAGTTTAGGAAAATCAACCACCAATAGTGAATGCAAGAACCAGTAAAAGTTTCAACATTACGTGAAAGGACACTTGAATTCCAGGCGTGCGCTGGGCATAGAATAGGTGGAATGAAACACAAATTCAACGCCCAATGGATCCTCCTGCATCATCACTTTCACGTGCTCTACACTTTGAGTCACATTCCTATCACAACAACTAGACTCAAGTCAGATCAAAACAGCATAAGATCACCGATCGCTTCACCAAACTTTGCGCATCAGGTTCGAGCATCGTGAGGATCGATCCCATTAACTGGTTTTGTACAGATCCAGCACACACTTTTCAGACTTCTTTTCACTGACGTGTCCCGCCAATAGGTCATCCACATCTCCAATATCCTGCACGTCGTCCAGCATTGCAACCATCTCCATCCAGTCATGTTACTTCATCAAACTGTTACCAAAATCTTAAGCCCACGGCAAGTCATAAAAATTGATGTGGGCTCAACATTATGGTAACAGTTTCCTTAGAAGTCAGTTTTACATCGTTGCAGTGTGTGACTAAACAATAAGCACTAGTATAATTCGAGCCCTTATATGCGTTCGTGCACTAAAACAAACCCAGCTTGGACGTCTTCAAACTTGGACGTAATCGCCTCAAGCCATGCGCTCTGCAGAGCCAAAGCCAAAGCGTTCAATAAAGGAGTGCAATGGGTCCTCGCTCTCAGAGGACCACGACTGCTCCATGGCAAAAGAGGTGCCCAACACCGACAATGTCAATACGATTACGTCAAGTGCTTTTAGCACGGCGAAATGTCGCCGACATGCAGCCAGTGCGAACCCTAAGAAGTGTGAGGACCGGTAAAGCGTTTGATCGCTCAATCGATTTGTACTTGATCGAATACGAACAGACGAAAGACCGTTAGTAGTCACATATAGGAAGGACGTTCCTGATGCAGCAACATGTCGAGAGAAGACGCTGAACTACATGCACGAGGATGCGATAAGTAACTACTCTCTCTTTTTACTGATATTAGTCCTAGATCCTATTGTGCAAGCTACTTGATATCACCCGTTCTGTCCGTTCGTAGCAAACGTGTTGCCAATTCTTCAATCCGCATACTAGCGATGTCTCGTGGACCCAAAGAGCTTCTCACGTGGTCCCTTTCATTCCTTCACTTCGGCAGTTCTAGAAACCTGGTAGTTCTTGCTCGCAACGTCCCAATAGACGGCTCTGTGTACCCATGTCAATAAGATCCACCTCCTGCTTCACTCTTGTATTGACTTGGACTTTCCACTCCACGTACTCCTCCGCTGCATCCCGTACATTTGAGACATGTCCTCGAGTTGAAGTGCCTAAAACGGTCAAGTCCAGATTCCTAGTGGGCCCGACCAATCATCGATCGTATGTTACAACTCAAGTTACACTAACAGTCCTCAGTCGAACGTAAAAAGGTCCACGCACCGCGTCGTCTTCGAGCAACGCCCGTCTGACTCGCAGCAGCATCTTGAGCTGCGTCTGAGGTCGTCCAACAAGGCGTGCAACATCTGCTGCTGCATTTTTAGGTCCTCAATGCTCTCGGCAAGGAGGTGCATGTGGTGTAGAGAAGGCAGTGACGGTATAGTTGAAGGAGGGACTTTCTCGACGGCTGTAGCAGCTGTTTCAAGTAGAATGTGCTGGATATAGCGCCAGATGCAGTAGACTAAGGATTGGGTACACCAATGGAGAAGCCCGTGAGTTATGTCTGTAATGACACGCGTAGGTTGATCGTTCTGGAAAGGGGAGGAGGGCTCTGTTTCATTGCCAGACCAGGCTTCTGTAATGACTACTGGCGGATTTCTAACGGTAGGAAGCGACACGGCTCGGTGATAAGACGGCGGCATATCGGAGCCCTTGCGCACAACTATGTGACGTGCTTCAAGCAAATTCGAAAGTGACGCTTTTCTTTGTCGAAGCGCGCGATCTGGCGACGACAAGTGCCAGAGTGACGGTCACTTCAACATGACGGAACCTCAACACGTGGCCTTGTAGCCCTATACAGAAAGGGTTACATGCACGTAAGGGGTGCAGCTTTTCGCAAGGCCAAAGTATTTTGCTTCCTGGCCATGGTCACTTACCTGCTAATGATAAGTGAGATGACAATGACAGAACCTCATACACGCATGGTATGTTAGTTACGTACTTTGTCTGAACTTTGAGCAGACCTTGGGCCGTGGATATCAGTGGCTCTTAGCATATAAAAGCCGTTGCCAGCTCTAAGATAGAGCTAAATGTTTCGTTACATGATAATGATCCATCCATACATTGAAGAACTCCTACCATGGAAATGGTCATTGAAAATGCACGGTCTTCGAACTGAAATAGTGTCATCAAACTCGTGCCAAGGCTGTCATTAGTTATTCGATGTCGTCCAAAGAACCTGATGCCACCAGCCAACTGGAGCTGCACTTCCTCAGCTTGAGAGCTTGTTAATCTTGTCAAAATCGATAGAAATATCGCAATTATGACGGTATTTCTGCTGTGACAGGATCGCCATTTTGCGGTAGATATACTGAATATCAAAACGAGTGCGCGAACGAGCGCTAGAGATATTGTGATTGCTCCTTCTTTTACATCGCTGTGACTCAGGTTCCTTGTGGACCTTGTCATGATGCAGCTCTAGCCACTTTCGACTTCCATGTTATATCGGAATAAGTATAGATCACGTTCATCTACACCAATGCTGCTGAACTTTTAACATGTAAGAATGAACCTAATGGGCTTCATTCTTTGGATGTGCCTTCAACGACTGCTTCTTTCGGTTTACATGCGTTTCTCATCATCACTTTCCTTACTCGATGAAACCTCTTCTGTTGGTTTATGTGCTTGGACTTGTTTAGTACGCGGTACATTCTCAGTGTCCTTTTTTCTCGGTCCTGTGTACGTGCTTTGCGAATTAATAATCTAAAACCGCATAAAGATACAGCAACTAGAATAGGGTAATGCTGGTAGGGTTACCGACTGTAAGTATACACCGACCAAGGAAGTCGGTATCCCTGCGGTATTTAAGCTGTAAAGTACCGCAGGGGTTGACTTCTACCTAGGCAATGTGAACCCGCCCCCCCCGATCAGCAATCGAGATGGATAAAATAAGTTTGTGTTTGTAAGATAGCTGTTTTTAAATTATCAAATACTGACCAAAGCCACACGATAAACTACATCTTCCTCTTTTTCGTCGCAAGCATTGTTTCTTATTACCGCCCACGTACACTAAAGCTACAGCAAGGCTATATCGTTCACGCTTGTATCCCATTACTTCGTGATAATAATGTTGATCGATTGAGATACTCGATCAGAGCATCTAGCGGAACAAAGCAGCAGCTGCAACGAAGAGCATGTTGGAATACCATTTTGCAGGAAATGGTCGACCAAATATGAAGAGAACACAGGAGACAGCTGACGACCTGAGTGCTGACAAGGGCTGGTACAATTTCTCAATTACGTAGTGCTGACCTTACCGGCGCGGACGCGATCAAAAGGCGCAGGAGTCCACACTAGATCAACGCGAACGACATGCGGAGCTGCTCGAATTGAACCCGTCGAGTCCAGTACATCAACTTTACTAATCTATAACGTACAAAACTAAACTACAACGACGGCATCTTTTTGTTTACAACTGAGACGCATGTCGTCTTCCCTACAAAAAAATCGTCCAATCAAGAGATCGCTCCCAGCCACCTCGACCTCTTCGACGACGTCTGTCCCCATTAGAAACGTACATCAGGTGGTTCACATAAACCCTGCCTCGCATTTCTATCCGACCCCACCCCGCCAATAGCTCCGTCCGTACCAAGTGCATCACACGAATCCATCGCCCCCATGGCCTTTTCATTCGGAGCCACAGCTGCCACTCCCGCTGCTTCTTCTGGCTTCAGTTTCGGTGCCGCACCCGCTCCCACTTCGTCTTTTGGCTTTGGTGCGAACCCATCGGCACCCGCTGGAGCCTCGAGTGGCTTCAGTTTCGGCACAGCCCCTTCAACTGCTACTGCTACTTCAGCCACTCCTGCGAGTGGCTTTAATTTCGGCACGAATGCTGCAAGTGCTACTTCAAGTCTTTGTGGGGCTCCGACTGGCGCTACAGGCTTTGGCTTTGGGTCTTCGACTCAGCAGCCACCAACAAGCGGGTTCGGAGGCTTTAACTTCAGTGCCCTACCCCTCGCGGCGCCACAATCTGTCGCGTGCGTAATTGATTGCAATTAGTCGGTCGCTGTAACGTTTCTAACGAAAAAAAGTGTTTTTTTGCTATTGATTTGGCATTGTATCTAGGGGTCCTCCGATCACGTTAGAAACGGCGTTTGAAGAGCTCCCGGACGAAGTCAAGAAGAACATGATGCAGTTTCTTGCGTTTCTAAAAGAACAGGACCAGTTGGACGCGTTTCTAAAGACTGTCTCCTCCCGTCCATTGGAAGTACTGCGTGACAACATGGCAAAACTCGAACAAGAAGTTCTGGCGAGACGGAACCGTCAGGCCCGTCAAACTGCTGCTGTCCAGCACGTGCGGCATGATGTGCGTCAATTGCTTCATCAAGTGGATACGGCTACACTGACTCGCCGCAGTCTGGACAATAGCAGTCATGCTGGGGCATTGAACGTGTACCATGTCATGCGACGGGTGGAGATGCCGTCACGGTATTACTGGGAGCTGCTTGACCACTACGAGCACAAGATGGCAGCGATCAAGGCGCAGATTGAAGATGTCGAAGCGCAGGTCAAACCGCTGTACGATGGACGACGTGGTGCTGCCATCCAAGGCACGGACACGCCTGTGCCAGCGCGGCTGCAGCAGATTTTACTTGCACAGAATACAGCGCTGATGCAGGCTGCTGCTCGTGTGGCTGAAGTGCATGAGAAAGCTGAAGAGATGCGGCAGCTGTTTTTGGCCAAGATGCAGGACGATATGGCTCGGCACGGGGACACGAACGTCGCTGCTTTTCAGAACCCTTTTGACAAGCGAAAGAAGAGCAGCGAAGCGGACAAACGGCAGGCTATTGACAAGATTCGCTTCCGCACGAGTGTTGCACCCACAATCGTTGCGTCCCAACCAGCAGCAGCGACTCCTGCTACATCTGCTTTTGGATTTGGAACTGCGACGCCTGCAGCGGCACCTGCTCCAGCACCCGTCAGCGGCTTTAGTTTCGGCGGGTTATCTGCTCCAGCCAAGACGGTTTCGTTCAATCTTACAAGCACCACAGCCACTTCCGTGGCACCTCTTGCTACGACGACCAGTATCACGGCTACACCTCTATCGGCGGGATCTACGACAATAGCTCCTGCAGCTGGAGGTTTTATGACTCCCACGGTAGCTACGAGCGGTTTTGGCGGCATCACTTCATCGTTCCTCCCGCCTGCTGCAGCCGATGGCAGGGCTTCCGTTGGCTCGAAGCGGGGCAGTGGACGTGCGCACAAGAAGCGGTAGGATGGATGGTTCGAAACCAAAGCAAGCAAGTACACGGTGATGAATCAATACATTTGCCACACAACAAACGATGTGTGAATAGCTACCCAACTCGTCCGTCGTTCGAGTTGGACAAGACACGACAAGTCCACTGCTATAAAGCACTTGTCCATGCATTACAACCCTCGGTGGCTCAACTGCTCACTAACTCAAGTCGAGCACGGAATGAACTTGACGCTGCTCATCGCCTTGCCCATCGATGCGAGCACTCCCAGTACGTCCTTGTTCGCAATACGCCACGTTGGATCCAGCAGACCCTGACCCGTAGCGCTCGAGTTATCAGGCGATGGGTACGGCCACGACGTGTCGGGGTTCAACGTCCACCAGAAACCACCAGCCAAATAGGGCTCCGTCGAGCCCGTCATCTGCGAGATGACGCTCTTGATGATTCGCGTGCTCGTCTGTTTGCCCGTCGCATCCAACTTGCCCATGAGACCACCAAAAGAGGAGAGAACCACAGCATTGCCCGTGTCAAAGGCTGCACCGAACGAGTAGTTCATGTTCAACTGCACATTCGCCAGCAGATCAGCATCCGTGTACTCAACGTACTCTTCCAGCAAGTCACCGTTCGTCGTGCCATTCTCAAAGAAGAACAACCGCGGAATGTACGAGCTCGAGAAGTACTTTGGCGCGTACACCACCTTCTCGTCCTTCTTCAGCTTGATGGGCTTTTCACCCAGTCCCGAGAGATCCGAGCCAGGCAGAAACGTGTTCTTGATCTCACGGTCGCCGTACGTATCCTTATGACTCTCCCCCTGCACACCTTGAACGAAAGCCAGCCACTTGGGACACACCTTCAGCATGTGATTTCCCAACTCGGTTGCGGCGACGGACCAATCCGTGTCGGAGCCGTCACCCCACGTCGCGTCCTTCATCGGACCATCCTTGAGATCAATACCGATGATATTAAAGTGCGTCGAGTCACACAGCGCCTCCGCCAGGTTCGAGATGGCGGTCTTGATGTCCACCAGCTTAATGGATGGGCCGTACCACAGACCCGATCCATCGTCGTCCAGCGCGGACAAGACATGAAAGTCCAGCACGACTCCAATGTTGAACTGACCCAGTCCCTGCACCAGCAAGCCCAGCAGCGTATTGTACCGCGAGGCCGTGGCCAACGCCCGGTTCGAGTTGGTGTTAATGAGGTTCGTGTCAATGTCTGTATTGCGCATGACCGCGTCGATCGAGAGCGGGAATCGCACCACGTTGAACTTGTTCACGTGCAAAAAGTGGGCGTAGCGGTACAGCGAGTTGCCGTCCGCTTGGTTGTCCCAGAGCCCTTTGGGCACGCCCTTGGCGTCTTCCATGCCCTTCCAGTTGATGCCCTTAATGTCGATCTGAGTCGACGACCCGTCCGCCAATTGGGCAAATATCCGGCCCTTTCTGCTAATGTAATTGGGCTGCTCGCACTTTCGGTCCGTGTACGTCTTGGGGTTCGTGATCGTCAGACTTGACGTCCGGTCCATCGGGTTCCCGTCGCTGATCTGCGTGCCGTCTGTGAACTTGGCTTCACTCGTAGCCTCGCTCGTGGCTTCAGTCTCGTTGACATCGTCATGCACTTGGATCCCGTAGTACGTGAGGCCCGCGACCGAGACGAGAGCCAATAGGAGCAGCGCTAATGCGCCTGGCCATGTCTATCGTGCAAAACGAGACGAGCGAAAAGCCACACAACACAAATTAGAAACAGTACCCATCTTTTTGGCAGAAGTACGAATCCATAGAAATAGAATCGAAACGGACCGGACCGGCCGTCTCGACGTTGTTTGCGAGCACTGTCAGCTCTAAAATAACGCAAAAGTCCATAAAACGTACCGAACGACGGCCACGATAGCGCGCCTTCTTGCCTGCAAACGTCGTATCGACGTCAGCGGCAGCGATGATGCGCTCGACTTCGGAGCTGCGGCCGCCCGAGAACGAGCCTCGACCGGTGCCACTCATGCGGCCCGAGCTGCTCATGGTGGTGCTGCGAGTGGTGGAGCTCGGTTTAGGAGCTGTATATGCGCGTTTGTTAGGGGGCGGAATAGAGTCTGACGCAGGCGAGCGTTAGTGTGTGTTGAAGTAAGCGTAACGGACGACGGCCGTTTCTTGTCCGGTTTGCATGTGTCCTGACGGTTGCGCGAGGAAACGGAAGAGAGAGAGAGGGGGCGACTCGTCTGCAGTAGACATGCAAAAAAAGGCCATGTGTCATGTGGAAAAGGAAGGGGTTGGGGCTAATGACGAGTCACACGCAATGGAAAATTAGAAACGCCTCAAAAGATCCTGGGGTCTGTCCTATCTAAGCCACTAAGTAGCACCTGCGTTTGACTGGTGTTGTGATTGGGCTCGCTTTTCTATTGGTGCGTTTGAGTCGGTTTGGTGCGGCAATTACTACTATAGAAATAGTCATCTTTCTATCTAGGATGGACGTTAATTCAGTCAACGAAGTACTCAAAAGTCGGCGCGACATCCGCGTCCGATGAGATTTCAGAAGATAAAACGAACTTCAAGCTTATAATTCCTGAAATATCTCAGATGATCTAGTAATGGATAAATGAACCCACGCAAGGCTTCACATTTTGAAACCGATGGCTGACGCGACTCTGCGATCGGCATCAGCTGTCGACTCACTTGCATAAACTATGCGCTTGTAAAGCCTTAAAGGAAAGTAAAGAAGTACAAGTTGGTGCACGAGCCATAGCTTGACCATTCCCCGTGTAAGCTGCTTCGGGTCGTGACTATTGTACAATGCAATAACGTCCGTAAGGAATCGCAGCTTCGATCATAGTGGATTCAACTGTCCAAGCCGCTCGCGACAAGCCGTAGTGTGGTGGTGATAGTTCAGTGCTAGATTGGCAGTAGCAACGCAGCAGATACCCGGATATTTTCTGAGTCTATGAGCATGCGGCTTGTAGTGTCTAGGGACACTCTCTCTGAGCTGATCGCTGTCGATGAGTCGCAAGCTGTTCCCTCTGGTACAGTCATTCAAGTCCTACGTCGCACCTGCCAGCACTACAGAAATGATGATGTGACTGACCGACAGAGCCAGACGGAACCGTCCCGCGAGCCGATAAGCTTCTAAATAGTGAGATGCAACACGAAGAAGCACAAGAACAAGAAGAAAACTAGTTGCGTCGTGAATCGTGCGTCATAAACTCAAGCCTTGACTTCACAGCTCGGCGCTTCCTTGCGCTTGGCACGTGTTACTTACGAGTTCATTGCGATGCAATTCATACATTCAGTAAAGCCTAAACAAAACCGTCGAGGAAAGCAGTTCGTAGCACACAATTGACGAAGTTGGAGTCAATCGTCTTCAATGCGCAGTCTTCTCTTCCGATTAAACGTATACGTCCTAAGACACGAGTCCCCAGCAAGTTCGTGACCTCTCAAAGTAGGAAGCAGCTCCCGGCTATAAAAAAAGCAGCAACCGTAAAAAGTTGAATCACTTGTCCATCCGGACGTCCAATCGGTAGAAATCCACTCTACGCGTTGACGACAAGTACCACGTCTTTCCTCTTGTACCCATTTCTCCACCCATCTGTAACGCACGAAGCAGGAACACCGTTCACATCAAGTGTGAGGTCGTCATGGAAACTGCAGCCAAAAAGTCCATTGCACCTCCCATAGCTTCAAAGGCATTAAGTCATGACGCCGAAACCAGCGAAAATGACGAGTGGCACCAGCTACAAGTGACGTTCCGAGCTTCCCCGGATGTCATGTTGGTACCGCTCCACCAACCGCTTGACTAACTCTTGACTAACCTTTTTGTTGTATCGACCAGCACTAACTTGAGTCGCTTGTCCGAATTGCTTGACCCCTTGTAGCTTGGCTATCCAGACATGAGTGCAGCGTGGCAGTTGTTCCTGCTAGGGAACGGTTCGCCCACGCATCAGTTGGGACTCCTCACAGGTTCCTTGACCGAAGTCGATGTCATTGGCATGCTCGCAGTGGGCTCGAGCGTCGACCTTGTCCCGTCCGAGGTCGGGGCGATTAAGTCGCCACGGTGTCGACGTCAAGTCTGGCTACGAAACGGTCGAGGAGAGCGACTGGGCTACGCAGCCTCGTGGATTCACGTGGACGACGTTGGAGCGGTGTTCAAGGACACGAAGATCCCTATTGGCAAGAACATTATGCAGCACAAGACCGAGCTGTACCGCGAGATGATCAGTGTCTTCTGTGGCCACTCGAGAGCACTTGAAAAAGCCTTTGGAGCTCCCGGACCCTTTTGGGGACGGTCGTATCGTTTCTGGAGCGGAAGCCGACCAGTGACTTTTGTCTACGAAGTGTTTTCACCAATGCTCGAGAAGTACATGGGCAAAGTGCTGCTAAAGACGTGATACCAACGGTCGAAACACGCTCAAGTTGCTGTGCAAAACGCATCCACTGACCAGCCAAGTGAACCGAATCACGGCCTCTTGCTTGCCTAGCTGACAAACCAGCCATTTCCAAGTCCAGACTCATCATCTTTCCCCGATTGCTGTCCGTGGTCGTGCATATCAAAGATCAGCAAGAAAAGCATGTCTCTACATTGTCCGTCGTTAATGAATCGTTCCGTCGCTCTTCCTCTTTGGTTTCTCTCTGGTCGCACTCCCGAGCCCTCGCAGTCCACCCCTTTTGACTCTCGTCCGAGTCGTTTACAGCGACATGCGCCACCGGCCCTTGTTGAAGCGACGGTTGAGCACCTTCCGGCCCGAAATCGACACCCGACGCGTACGAAAGCCGTGTTTGCGCTTGCGACGCAGCACACTCGGCTGATACGTCCGCTTGATCGCTTCCAGTGGCTCTAAAAAAGCAAAACCAGCGATAAAAAAGCAGACATCAACCCAAATTCCCAAAATTAGCACAAGTCTTCTCTCCGTCAATAAAGTTTTATAAAAAGCAGAGTTTGCGCACCGTCTTGGCTCTCACTGGGGCACTCGAGCTGGTTGAGTGGCGGCAGGATGTTGTCAATCAGGACACCGTTTTTGCTTATCTCGTGCTGTAGTGGGTTCAGCAGCATGTAACTGTCTGTCATTAACAGAAAAAAACACAAAGCACCACAATTGAGTTCGGTGCGAAAAAATGCATGATATAAAAAGCGTAATTTCACAATAAGCAGCACGGACGTTCGTGGCTGATCGTTGACAAGATGGACAACTGCGGCAGTGCACTAACAGGCACGGCAGAGGGCCATTGACCGGATGCCAGCGAAAGACCACGCACGCTTGAGGCAGCTAATCGCGTGCGTAGACTCGACTGGAGTGCGTTCTTAAAAAGCATGGATGTCATTTGTTTGGGTGGCGCTGACGGCGGACGATTTGTGTGTCGCTATTGCAACATTTGAATTGCTAATTGATTAAGATTCGATCAACACGAGATTTTGCAGAGTTTAGTGGTATGAGATAAGGGAGCAAGCTCGGGAGCTCGCCCTTTTAATACTAGTATTTCAGTTTAGAACACTGGATCAAGTTTTGTACATTTACGTACCTATCCCAGGTGGTTGGCAGCTAATGAACAAGTTGTGCTGTGTTTGTTTGTTTAGTAATGTAACTGCTGATGGATTGTGTGTGTGTTGTTGCTACTCAAAGATCTTTGTTGATGTTCTATAGAGATGGTATGAGAAATAAAGACGAAGGATTGATCTCCCATTCACGCCGTCAATGAGTACCTCCGTTACATGATATTTTGCATGAGGCAAATATCAAGTATGGATATTATGTTAACACAGACATCATATTCTCAAAACATCAGCTTTGCAAGTAATATTGTGATGCAGAAGCAATACACTCTTCGTTGGTAAAATTTAGGGCAGTAATATCAGCCAATAAAGCCGAGCCACAACAAAAAATGCAATGAGTGGTGAGCATGTTATTCCAATACATGTTTGTATTCAGGTGTAGTTAACGAAGACTAAATGTGGTTTATAAAATAGGAGATTAACTATACAAAATCCAGTTCTACTTTTACCCTCATCACGTATTGAAACCTTCCTCTGTACGATACGTGTACATGAGTATTCAATTAAAGGTCTTGATATCATTGTGAATCTATTTGTAGAATTTATTGAGGGCACCTGCTTAGCCTGTGTTCAAAGTAAGTTGCTCGTACTGTGACAGAACAAGCGATCGGTGCCCCGTTACAGTCAGCCACAAAGTTCGGCCGACGACATGTATTATAAACAAAAAGAGGAATAAATGGATGCAGCTTTCTCTGCCACCGAGAGAGAAATGTGACCATAGATTTCTTCCAGGTTCGACGAATGAAACCTCCCCGCATTTACTGATTGCCGGAGGTAAAACATATCTATGCCCCTGAGTTTCGAGCATTTGCTTGCAGTGCCAGTAAAAGCAATGTGTTCGACACATTTTTGCATCTCGATGCTACAAAATTGAAGCGTTCTCGCCCTTAAACAGGGAAAAGGTAATGTACTAGCAATAGATAGCGCGTATAATTTGTAGGATATGTAGCAAAGTACGCTCATAATGGCTTGATTAAAGCAGGGAAGCGTAACGCAAAGACAAGAAGGTGCATTTTTGCTGATTTATGTATTTTCATTTTTCGATGCTTTAGAAATGGACTGATAAAATTGCCTCGATGATGTCGAATAAGGCCGTTAGTATCTCTGTGTGCACAAGAACTATGCAACAGGGCCATTGCAAGGGAAGTGTTGCATTCCAATAATTTCGTGAGCAATTTTCAGCGTGATCCGATCGATTATCCTGCTAGGAAGCTAGCCATACGTGCGTCTAAGATCACCCATCAAGATATATGACGGCTTCAACAAATTGCTGTAAAGCTAGAAGAATCTTTAAAAGACCTCGTCGACATTCTTGGACTTTCCGTGAGTGTAGGCTTATCAGACAAATAATCAGCGCGTCACCAGACCAAACCTTGACAGAGCGAAAACACACACCTAAGCTTGAGAAACATTATTTTGCTAGCCGTCTGTTTTAGGCGATACAGAAAGGCTCGTGAGAAGCCAAATGAGATTAGGGTGTCTTCTCTGACGAGTAAGGAATCAATATAGAAGGGCGATAGGCTCCAGTATTACTAGTGTGACCGTGGTAAGGAGATTCAAGTCTACTTGGCCTGACACATGGTGGGCGGCTCGGTCATGGTTTGGGCATTTTACGCAGCAGCTTGTAAATCAGGCTTGGCAGATCGCAAATGTGGCCAGGATAAAGTGTGCTACCAACAAACACTCAAACAATAATAGTTATTGTGGCGAAGTGTGCTGTCAACACTTTTCGACGAGACCCCAAACCACTCACTGTGCCGGACTGCCGACTGTCGGAGGGGTACCCCGATGCCGCATGTGGACCTTGAGTCACCTTGTGTACCCGTCGGCTGGTGGGTTACACTCTTCGGAGGACGTCGGACTTCATGTAGATCGACCTGGGGGAGGCCCCGAGCGGATATGCTTCAGTCGGGGTCCAATTTAGGCGGCCACTCGATCGACTTAGTCGATCGTGGTCTTATAATCAGATGTCTCAGGTGCTGGTAGCGTCTGGTCTTTACTTGTCTCCGGGATTTTAACCACCTGGACTTTACGTGTCTTCTCCCTTACCACTAGGGTATGAAGGCCGGTTTCTATAGCGGGATTTAGTGGGGGGGTTGCTACTCTATGAACCCACAGGCCAATGTACTTTCTGGGGTTCTACGTGCGCTTGTGTCTTACTGACAACTGTCCATTGGACGGGTGGGCCAAACAAATCCCTGCCCGGAACAGGCCGGTAGACTTACAAGTTTCTTAGTTCACGACACGTCGTGCTCCCTAGATCGCAAATTGAGTGGTCTTTAATGTTATCCTATCCTTTAAACTCCTTACTCTACTTTTGCCTTGCAACTGAGTTCGCAACGATCAGTGGCTAAAAGCCACCAGACCTTGAGAGGCCAAGCCTCACCAACTTCTGTTTAAATTGGTGGTTGAGTTGGAAGACTAATTCTGCATTGAAAGGAATGGTTGGAGAAGCTCTGTTGATCCATTAGTGGTATCAATTAATTGTTTGGATCGGTAATGTAGTTAGCGTGCTAATTCTATTATCGAAAAGAATGGTTAGTGAAATATCATTTAATTGATTGTGTGGGTCTAGCTAATTATTTGCTAGACCCATACAATTAATTGTATGATACTTCACTAACCATTCTTTTTAATAATCTTTGGGTGACCAAGTCATCCTAAGGGTGACCGAGGTCCACTTTGGGCTACCTGGACTACCGACGGGTGGTTGAGAACAATCCATATCGGTACTGTTTAACTGGTACTGTTGGTAGGTTTAACCTCGTAGGCAGTAACCTTAAATGCTCGTCACGGTTGGACCCAGTGGCCGCTCCTTAGCTGTGACCCCCAAATCTCCGGTCCCTTTCTCGGCCGCGAGGTCCCATGTCCATCCGGCTCCTTGACTCTTAATTACATCATTTCCAAATACTCGCCTCACCACAGCCGCCCCTTGCACTTTCTCGACCGTATAGCGGTTCGAGCATGAGCATGTCTTCACCACGCCAGTCCCGTAAGTTCCATTTTCTGTTGTGGCCGATATCTTGTCACTGTCTATCCTGTGCGGTTGCATCCATATCTTCACCAGAATTTAAATCACCATCTAAGGGTCCGGTTCCGACTCCTTCGCCACCACCTGCACCCTCGGCAGAGGTCTCTGCCCAGGCGGACGCAGTCGCAGCATCGCATGTCGTCTCCGGTTACATAACCTTCACGATTTTTAGATCTATTAAAAGAAATTGGTCTTCAGATTCGTCATCTTTGGTGAACGCAGGAGAGGCCGCCGTACCCACGCGGTTGAATTTGTCACCGGTGGGGTCTTCTTCAGTCGAAACGGCTGTCCGTGCCGCTCCCGCTCCCGCTGATGTCGATTCGGGCCCATTGAATGACCCCGTCGGCGGCCGTCCTCCCATGTACCACCCGTTGATGAGGTGGCGTTGCCTCGCCATAGCGAGGCCTGTGAGGGTTAATTGGCCCTGAAGTCTCCGTCACCACATTATTGGTCGCTTCGATGTTAGCGCTTGGAGCGGGAGTTAGGTGAATCCTGCTCCCTCGTGTCACAGCTTCGCGAGAAGCTGTAGCATGAGATGGCGCTGACCTATCACTGGCGACGGCAAGTCGACCTTCGCCATAGTCGGATGTTCCTCCTCATGGCAGGGCTAAGTCACTCCGATTTCTCAAGCGAACGTTAAACGGGTAGCACTGGTGTCGTTCAAGGGACGTTTAAAGACTCGGTCGCAGGTGATCGACCTCCTTCTTCCGTATCTGGGAAGCGGCCCCAACGATGATCCCCTCGCGCCCCATCTCAACCGGCAAAAAAACGAGCAAAGGTGAGCGCCTGGACGTTCCGATGGCGGGAAAGACGGTCTTCAAGATCTCAGGGGGAGCTGCATTGCAGATCATCCCGACATTGGATGACGCAAGTCTCAGTTCCAACCGCGAGCCGATCCGGGCCGCCATAGCCAGATCTCGGTTTTCCCGTCGCCAACTGAAGACTGCTTCTCTGCTTTACCCTGCATCCTCGACTCCCATGCCAAAAGCTGCGATCCCTCGGTCTCTTACCAAGGCCATGTTCGGGTCGTCCGAGTCTGAGACTGAGCCGCCATCTCGGGATGAGGGTGACCATCCTGCTGCTCGCATTTTTCATACGCCAGAAAACGAGTACTCGCTTCCTCAAGACGCCATGATTCCGAGTTCAGCTTAAGCGAGGGGGTTCACCGCCAATGAAGTGGCGCCTTGTTCAGTCGAACTGATCAACTCCTGGTACCTCGTCACTATGACGTCTGGCAACCTGGCCGACCAATCGGAGATGCCCTGGGTTGGTTAGGTCCACCAGACGGGAATTCAGATCGTCCAGCGAAATGGAAATCTTCGATGGTCACTCCTCCCATTGTCAGGAGTCTGATGGCTACGAATCCTTGGTTGGCCGCAAAGGTTCCTCTTCCTCCTGTGTCTTTCAGGGCGGTTGGCTATAAATGAAGTTTACACGGCTTTTGAGGCCGAATACGCTCAGGCGCTCTGATGAGCTACCCACTGCTTCTAGATCTCGAAGGATCAAGCCCATGCTAGCTCCTTATTCACTTCGTACTACAATGCCCGGAAGAAACGTCGGAGCAGGGCGACCTTGGCGTGGCACAATATCGTCGGTGGAGTCTTCGCAGGGATGGCCGCTCATCGATGTGACATTTACATCTTCCTGAACCCCCTCTTCCGGCACCCGTCTCGCCCTTGCTGCGTGGTTTATTGGTTCCCTGAGTGTGCGAAGGGGTCAGATCCGGTCGGCCTGTTGGCTGCTCTTCACCTCTCGGGCTCTATGTGGTCATGGATCTCCCAGTACCGACTCACATCTGAGCCCAACCCTAGAACCAAAGTCGCCCGCCTCTAAAGCAAGTTTGTCCCTCTTTCGTAGGCACAGTTGCTTGAAACAACGTGCTTCCGATCTGTTTTACATCCACATTATCCGTTCCATGCAAATTAACCACTCGTTCACCTGTTCCCTCGCACACCGGTAGTGACTCTGGATGTGATATCTCCATCTTCGATCCCCCGAACCTTTGCATCTGGTGTTCTCCACTGACAACGTTGCTTCCAGGGTGGCTCTAGCGCCTCATGTAACGGGGTGAATCGTTACATAACAATTTATAAGAAATTGTTAATAGAATATAACTATAAGAGTTATATTCTCAGAATATTGTCATAAGGACAATATTCTGTAGCACTTCCAAGTAGTTCCTAATTGGTTGATATAGGCCATTATATCAACCAACGAAGACGCGCCACGACAGACGCACGCAATGAGTGGTGAGCAGATAACTGATTTACACATTTGTATTTAGACATAGTTAGATGAAGATAAATAGTGATTTATTGCAGACATTAACTATTATAAATACAGTTCTACTTTTACTCTAACCGAGTACTCGCTTCTTCTTACTGTCTTCCTCTGCACGTACGAGTGTACGTGAAGTTACGAGGCACCGCCTTATTCTGTTATCAGAATAAGTAGCTTGTACTGTCACCAGTACAAGCTTCAGGGTGCCCCGTTACACCTGGTAGCACTTCGTAGTCCGTCCAAGGACCGCGTTCACATCCAACATGAATATGTTGGATGATGAAGATGACCAAAGCTTTCACGCTACGCGTGACGGCTACTCCCATTTGAGCGATGTCGAATGGGATGCGGTTGAACGAATGGGTTCGACCATGGGCATCCATGCTGTTAGCGTCATGCTAGAGGCTCTCAATAGAGATGCCCAACATGCTACTATCGCCAAGTTCATTCAAAATGAACTTGACGCAGAACGCGAGAAAGTAGCCTTGCTTCACCAACAAGGTTCTCAACAAGCAGAGTTGTTGAGAGAACAAGGTGCTCAACAGTTTGAACTGTTGAGACAGCAGCAGGCTGCTGCTGGCGGGTCGATGCACTCGCGTCGGCCCGAGACTTTGAAGATTGACATCTCAAAGTATAGGGGGTCGAAGAAGACTCCCTCTTGAGATGGTTCGTCGAATTGATGACGCCATAAGGGCGCGTCGCATCGACGACGGGGATATGCAAGTTGCATTTGCCCAGTCAAATCTGGCAGGACGTGCCAAGACTTGGGCACTGGGGTCAAGCTGCACGACCCATATGGTTTGGGTCGTTGGAAGTCTTCAAGTCGCGGCTCAGACAAACGTTTGAACCGCCTAGACTGAGTTCAGAGCTCGAACCGAACTCTTGAAGCTCAAGCAGGGTAAGCGTGATGTGCACGCTTACGCTCAACATATACGACATCTCACGAGTTGTATAAGTTCCATCCGGTGGATGAACACACGTTGGTTTCGGTGTTCATGCAGGGTCTTGCGGATGGTCCCGTCAAGACTCACCTGTTCCGGCTGAACTAGATTCACTAGAACAAGCCATTTCAATTGGGAGCAGGAAGACTTCAGTCTGAGAAGGCTCGCGCCAGCTCGACATCATATCGTCAACCGAGAGATATGAAACGGAGGTCCAGAGCCGATGGAACTCTGTTATGTAGAGAGCGAGAAGGCTCGCTCTACAGGCTACAAGAAGTTGCAGAGATGCAACAGATGTCAAAAGACAGGACACTACGCTTACAGTGTAGTGCCTCGTCAGTGTCTCGCGACACTGGGCGTAGTGACCGTCACCCATGAGAAAGGGGCAGGGACGAGGGTGCAGTTGGTGCAAAGAGCAACAACGGGATGGACCGTCAAAAACGGAAGGATCAGTAGGTGCGGAGCACCTACTGATCCAGCAACTCAAGAGAATTTGTAGCCTCTTGATGAAGGTTGCTCCCAACACACAGCATTGTGGTTGCTGCTCTAGGTAATGAGATCTCACTCATTACCTTGAAACTCAAGTGACAATAAGTTGTCCCTTCGAGTCTAGTCGTTGTGGGGCGTCCAACAATTTTTGTGCGACGCCAATCGCTAGAAGATGGTCACTTTAAATTCAGTGAATGTGAACACCTCCTACGAGGATGACGGTACGTCTTGGAAGGGCATCCGTAACCGTCATGAAGCGTATAGTGAAGATTCACTATACGCTAGAAGATACCAATACGACGATGACTTTATCGTATTGGATTTGGATGAAAATTTGATGTCATCCTTGGAATACGTGGCTCAGAAGGTACGAACCACGGGTAAACTGGCAACATCGGAAGTAACGATGCCTGCCGCTTGTTCATCAGATGGCCATCTGATGAAGTTTTGGAGCGTCCACAAGCGTGTGGATGTACAGAGTGAGTGCGATGGCCTCACTTGTGGTACGGTCGTTAGTACGACTGCACAAAACCTTAGTGTACCAAACGGTTACATTCGGAGCAAAGTTCCGGCGGCTGTGAGGAAACACAGGTGGCCGAAGGTCCACCACTCGAATAAGTCGGGTGGACTGGGAAAAGATGTATCCCTAGAGGGGAACATCTAGAAGAGAAACAATCGATGCTCAGGTTAAGCGAAACGATAATCCTAGATCGACTGGAGAGTCTTTCGTAGAGGATCTCGCTGTGGTTGCGCAACCCCAGCTAGAGGAAGTAAAGGGAATAAGTCCCAAGATTACAAATACGGCGAAATAAGTTCCCCGAAACCCGCGAATAAGTCCCCGGGAAGACGAAGGAATAAGTCCTTCGAAGCCTGAGGGAATAAGTCCCCAGGAAATGACAGAGACATTGAATGTCATAGTCAATAACGATCATGTGTAGGCGCTTATACACTTGATCTGATTGGCCTCCGAAGTTAACTTCGGAGATCACTCAGTGCCAACGCTCGAAATAAAAGGTTCTTGCGTGATCTGCGTAGTGGCAAAGTCAAGCAGATCTGCATACTGTCGCTGAGAGAGTGTGTAACGAATAAGGTAGCAAAGTGTTTACTGAGAACAGAGGTTCTCAGTAGTTCATCTATGGACAGAGTGTCTAGATGAAAGACACGAATTGAGGATATGAGTCCCAATCATGGGAATGCTCAAGAAAACCTCTCTATGAGGATTTGGTTGAATTCAAGGTGTATTCCCTGAAACGTTCCGTGGAATTACCGAAGGATAAAGGTATTCGACACGAAGTGAGCTTAAACCAGGCTGAAGTACTGTGTCATGAAGCAGTGCCACTGCCTGTGAACAAGTACTTGGATCGACAAGTTCTTTGCCGATCGTTTAGAGGGGCCATGTGAGGGATCAACTTCCCCACATAGTCTCGACTTCTGTGTGCGAAAAGAAAGGAGGGTGGCGGATAGTGCACGCGTTTAACAAATTGAACGCTGCAACGGTACGCTCAGACGCGATACCGAGGAAGGACGTAATCATTGATGGTATGTCAAAGAGTACCATCTTTTCGTCCATGGATTTGATGGATGGCTTCTATCAAATCTAATGGGAGGGATATACCTATACCGCAGTTAGAGCCTAGGATGCTCTGGGAATGGCTAGTAATGCCACAAGGGCTCAGTAATGCCCCTGCAGTTCAAAGTGTGTATCACATCTGTTGAGACCAGTACGAGTTCGCGCCGAGTTATTTCGATGACGTATTCATCCATAGTCGAGCTATGGATGGAAAGTCGGAGTTGAGTTCACAGGTACCAGTCCGACAAGTTCTTACAATCATAAAGCATCAATTGTATGAAACCTCAAGAAGTGTATATTTGAGAAGGAAATAACTTCTTGGGTGCAGTTGGTAAGAACGGTGACGTCTGATCCCGAAAGATCAAGGCGATACCGACTGGCCGTGGGTCGATGTCAAAGGTCTTCGAAAATTCCTTCTAGGGCGTATTTGCATAAGTATTCACGAATTAGCGAGATGATGTAACCTCTCGTTTGTTGAAAAGAAGAGAGGTGTTATGGAACGCTGAATGTCAACGCCTTTGAGGGTATCAAGAGAGCTTGATAATCCCCAGTCCTAGCAATAGCCGATCAGGACAGGCCATTTCATGTGGTCTGTGATGCCAGGATTTCGCAATCGGCTGTGCATTAATGAGTAGACCTTGAAGGCGTTGAAGCGTGTCTGCTATAGTCGGTCAGCTGCAACAGCTGAGGATATCAGTGCATGACAAGGACCTTGCCATAAGTATGATCGAAGTTCAGAGTCTATCTATTAGGAGATAGACCCTTCGTTGTTTACACTGACCATGGTCCTTAGACGGGTGAAAGCGCACATTTCACAACAATGGGCGTGGTTGTCATTCTTTGCAGAATACAACTTTACGGTCGAGTACAAACCAGGAGACTTAATGTGTCGCTGATATCTAGTCGTCCCGACTTTGAAACAGTCGCGAAACCAACAGTGAGAAGTCACTGTTGGGTTATGACGTCCTCAGTTCCATCTACAACGTTGATGATGATGTGAGGCGGGCATACCCCAAGAGGTGAGATAGTGAGTTGTTGTACATTCTCCCAACCATCTCGAGAATCGTTGAAAGATTGTCGTCTGGTATCGATTGCATCAGATCGATACACTACTCGTAACGGTTTACTGTACTATACAGCGTTTCTGGTGACACACACGTGTTGTCATTAGATGATACTGATCTGCGTTTGCGATATGTTCGATATCACGATGCTCCTATAGGAGGAATCGTGGCCGAGAGAAAAATATCTCACGGTAAGTCGAGACTTTTACTGGCCCGCCAGTATCAGTTTGTGAAAGTATGTTCGGATGAAGCTGCCAACGAGTGAAGTCAAGTCCTTCACTTGACCTTTACAGCCTCTACCGGTTCCGGCTGAGTGCTGGGAATCCATCTCATGGATTTGTCTTCGGGTTACCAAAGAGCACGGGGAATACGGGTATTCTCGTATTTGTTGACAGATTCAGCAAAATGGTACACCTTGTGGCTGTACCAGAGACAATCACGGCAAGTGGCTGTGCTTGTGTCTTTATTGAACCATCTTCCGACTTCAGGGTTGCCCGTGAACTCGTATCAGACAGAGATCCACGATTCACTGCTGATTTCTGGCGTTCCGTATTCAAATCACTCGGAACGCGCTTGAAGATGTCAACATCTGATCATCCAGAGTCAGATGGTCAGACGGAACGTGCCAATCGTGTCCTTGAAGAGATACTTCGAGGATACGTACACTCCTTTAAGAGTTGGAGTGAGTTTTTGCCGATGGTAGAGTTTGCCATCAACAACTCGGTGCATGCGTCCACGACATACACCGTTTTACTGAATGGCTTGCGCCATCCGCGTGTACCCACCTTACTAGGTGTAACTCTGGTTTAAGGGGGAGGGACTCGCGCGAGCAAAAACCGATTTGGTTCACGCTCATACGCTCTGACGAAGAAGTCATTGCGTTTGATGCCGATATCGATAACATCGATATCGAAGAAGATGATGCCAGTGAGAGTGCGGAAGCCCTCACTGAAGACAATGATGCCAGTGAGAGTGCGGAAGCCCTCACTGAAGAAAAGGTTGTTGTTGCTGCAGTGCGCTCACAGCACACTGAAGCTAACGAGTCATCAGATGAGTTCATACTGGCTCGTGAAACGGTAGTCCGTTTTGTGCAAGACTCCATCGCCGAAGCGGTGGATAAGCAAAAGCAAAACGCTGACAAGAATGGAAGGGCAAACACTCTTTTATTTAATAAAGGTGACTTAGTCCTACTGTCTACGGTTAATCTACCAAAACATGTAGTGACTAACTTGGGTAGCAGTAAACTACTACCCAAGTACATTGGCCCATTTCGTGTATTGCACCGCCTAGGCAATGCATACACGATCGAGTTACCACGTAAGATGCGAACGCATCCCACGTTTTACGTTGGTCGGCTTAAGCCGTACCATCAGTACGCTGCTTCTTCCGATGAAGAACGCCCTTGCGCTCAAGCATCTCGCAGAGAGCCTTGTGCTCCCGATGGTGGGCATCAACAAGGGTCTGAAGAGCAGTTATCTCAGCCCGAGACCGATCAACAATCCCACGAGCTACCCTTAGCTCGTCACGAAGAGATGTCAGAGATCTCTCGTTCTCAAGCTGAGCAAAGGCAAACTCAGCTCGATGCTTCAATGCAGTGTCCACCATCTGGAGACGCCTATTCCGCTCATGCTCGAGATCGTCGCGTAACCCTTGCGTTAGCGATCAAAAAGTCTCGGGAAACACCGATCCACATGATCGTGTGGAGAGCGTCTTTCCTCCTCCTCCACCTCCATTAGAGGACTCTCGCGGTGGCCAGCGCTATCTAGTAGAGCAGCTGTTGAACCACCGCGACGTGAAGGACGTCGGACGAGTTACCTCGTCGGTGGCGCGGCTATCCCCGTCCTGGGATTCTTGGGAGCCCCGCTCCCAATTGATGGTTGACGTACTGGGTCTGGTCGAGCAGTACGACGCGAACATCCTGTGCCGCAGAAGGACCGCCGGAGAAAGTCTTCCCGGCACGGTCGTAAAGGGATTTCAGGTTGTCAATCCCTTCGTACATCTCAGTAGAGACACGTACGCGCCACCACGGGCTGGTAAGGAGGTAAGCCTCCTTAGGTGCTCGTGCAGAGTTGTTCACACAACATGGGCACGAGTCTCCCCAAGAAAGGCAGGGTAATCCTTTCTCCCTTGACAGACGATGCAGCTTGTAGCGTGCACCTGTCGGGGTTCGCTTTTCAAACTTATCACGAGCTTTGATAAGTTTGTCGTTCCAAGCGTCACGACCTACATCCTCGAGATTATGGATGTAGGCGTTCCACGCCTGAAGTAGTGAGGGACCATCACGTTTGTGATTCCCACTGTACCATCGATGTCTGAAGAAAGCATCGATGAAGAACTCATGTTCAGCGCGATAGTCTTTCGCGCTGGGGTCAAGGTGATGAATCCTTGACGAATCGAACAATCGTGTTCGATAACGATCACTCGTCGTCGCCGACAAGTGATCCATGACAGATTTAGGAGGCATCCATGCCTTCTTTTCTGGAGCGAGACGCAACACATTGCGGTCCCGCTCTTCCTGCGACGTGCCGACAGAAGTACTGGCACCTCGCTGTGAAGTGGTGTCCATTGGAGAAACGACACCACTATTAGCGCCCGAGTCTCGCGACCTCGAGCGCCTTCGCTTGGCGATGGTTCATCTGACTCATCAGATGAACCAAAGATGCTGCGACGCAAAGCATCGTCCATGCCACGCTTGGCAGGCGGCTTGGATTCAATTGCCGTCGATACGGATCCGTCATCCGTATCAGGAGAGTACGAGACACCGAGCTCGTACTCTGTGAAGACACGAGTGTCTTCATGACCAGCACCTGCATCACCAGGTGATACAGGCTGAGTCGATTCAGCAACCGATGGGATATCAGTTGCTTTAGTTTCTGCTTCGGCGTCCGCACAGAGACGTGCAGACGCGCTCTCGGCGGCCTTGCTCGCGCATCGCATGGGCTTGTTTACCATGCGATGAGATGTTGGAAAGTGGACGCGGACCAACAAGTGCAAACCCCGTCCCAAATGATTTGGGACGAGTATCCATTTAGTCAATCAGTCACTAAAGTGACTGATGGTTAAGGGGGTGATGTAACGGGGTGAATCGTTACATAACAATTTATAAGAAATTGTTAATAGAATATAACTATAAGAGTTATATTCTCAGAATATTGTCATAAGGACAATATTCTGTAGCACTTCCAAGTAGTTCCTAATTGGTTGATATAGGCCATTATATCAACCAACGAAGACGCGCCACGACAGACGCACGCAATGAGTGGTGAGCAGATAACTGATTTACACATTTGTATTTAGACATAGTTAGATGAAGATAAATAGTGATTTATTGCAGACATTAACTATTATAAATACAGTTCTACTTTTTACTCTAACCGAGTACTCGCTTCTTCTTACCGTCTTCCTCTGCACGTACGAGTGTACGTGAAGTTACGAGGCACCGCCTTATTCTGTTATCAGAATAAGTAGCTTGTACTGTCACCAGTACAAGCTTCAGGGTGCCCCGTTACACCTCACCCGTGGGCCAAATAGAACGGTGTCTCTTTTCGCACCCTATCATGTGCATGTTCAGTGCGAACGTCAGCCGTTCTGCGTATTCGTCCCAATCTTGCTGCGCCACATCTGAGACGTACATCTTGATAGACCTTGTCAGGGTTTGGACCATTCTTTCCGCGATTTTTTCGCCTGGGGTCAGTAAGCCATAGTTGTCTGTTGACGCTGACCCAACATACGATTGAACGCTCGAAAGAAGTCCAACATAAACCGGGTTCCTGATTATGACGGATCACCTCGCTGGCTTTAAAACGCATGAAAACACATTCCTCGTACCCTTCGTCCATTGCCTGAGCAGTTCTCGAAGCACTTGCCTTGGCCATCACAAACCCAGTGAAGAAGTCGATCCGAATCAATGGTTCAGTGTTTCACTTTTGTGACTTGGGCAATGAGGGGATATGGTCCATTGCTATGACTTGGAAAGGGTAGGTCACTCTACATTACCAGGGGTTGTCCCTTGAAAGATAGGCCCCCTCCCCCGTCTCGCAATCCACACATAACCCCACATACCTCTGTACACTTCGAAACAAGCCTCTCCAACGGAAATATCGCCGAATACGATAGTAGGTGCGACCGACTCCTTGATGAAAGACCTCAAGACTGGCGTGGGAGTGATGTAACACGTCGATCTGGAGGAATTTGGGGATCATTGTCGGGCAGTCAATTCTCGGTAGCCCTCTTCGATCTTGTGGACGGTACAGTACACCAGTAATTCTTCGCTGACTTTATAAACTCTGGCCAATTTGCTGCATGAATGTAACGATTCTGCCGACAGACAACCTAGAATACCTTTTAAATACGCCTTAAAATTCTTTATCCAGCTCTCCTCCTCTTGAGCCTTCAGGATGCGTTCCACTCGCAGCTGTTGTATTACATCTTCTTGCATCGTTTCTCCGGATATTCTGATGTGTGGCCTGGATTGGGTCACCGCGAATACTGTTGCCGTCATATCCTGGTTTGGGTCACCGCGAATACTGTTGCCGTCATATCCTGGTTTGTATGGACCAGCATCTCCGGTAGTCGGTTGATCACTTCCAACCCTAACCACTCTTACCTCGGTGCCGAATCTACCCCTCCTTGTCTATGTAATGCTTCACCAGCCGGCTGGTCCACAATCTGGTTTCAATCGCGCAATAAGCGAAGTAACTCGTGGGAAGTCCACGACTTAAGATTGTCCAGAGTACTTGCTTGCAACAGAGACATCCTTGAAGCCTTGCACTCGATTTGTACGCGCATCTGCCAGACAACCAGATTGGAGTCCCCACAAATGATTAGCTGTCGTCGTTCAATGGTTCTAGCAACTCGAATTCCAGCAAAATGCCCTCATATTCGGCCTCATTCACCGAGAATCTCTTACGATATTTGGAGGTAGCGCTTACTACCGACCACGTAGACAGGCTCCATACGACAGCGCTCCAAGCTCCACCTCCTTGTTTCACACGAGCTGATACATCAAATCTCAGTAGATATAGCTTTCTTTGTCTTTCCACAGTAGGCTTAGGTTGGTTAACCTTCTGTTTCGCCTGTTTCTTGGGTGCGAAAGCCGATAGATCGAGCTACACTCTCGCGGGGGGTAATAGTGGACGCTAACACCCCCAGCACCTGGTCTTCGCCTTTTTTGCACTTCCCAATCTCTAATGATCACTGGGACAAGAGAGCTGCCCATTTCCTAAACGCCTTTGCGACCCAGAAGATCTGACCAACCAGGCCAACGTCAAGTGTCACGTTAATATTTTGATAGGTCGGGTGACCAACATTGTAAAACAAGCTCCCAATATCTGTAACAATTTCAACACCTCTTTCTCCACGGTACTGTAGATCAACTTGTTGGCCTTGAGTGTCCAGCTCGTAAAGGTCACTGGCATAAATAGTCCTTCATAGTCCTGCACCAAATACGCTGAGATGGCCCATTCGCTCACGTAGACATTACCGCTTCCTCCGATGGGTCAAAATGCCGCAAGGTGGACTATACGAACACCTGCACGCTACAGAGGCGTATTTTAATTTGTGTACAATACGTACACAAACGAATTTGTCGCGTGCCAGCTGTGCGTGCGCAACCGCAATGACCAGTAATACTACGTGTGAAAAATCTAAAGTAGTGACGACAATACACATAAGTACTTCTATTTTTTATCCTGTGGCTAACAGACGGTCAAGAAGGTCACGGCCACTTTCTTTCAGACCAAGAAAAGCGGGATGGTCACGTTTCTATTTCTGCTTGTGCACATAAGGCTTACATAAATGGGCGAGATGCATTGCTTAACGGTACACTATCTACGAGACAAGACAATTAGTCTTTTTTTTAGAAATTAGGGAGATTGTGCTAAGATGGGCTTCACCTTGTGAAATCGAGTCACAAGGTAAAGAATGAAGGTGAGAATGTCATGAAGTGGGTTAGTGGATCTGTATTTCGTTATTGGCGTGACATGAGACTAAGATGCCGAAGCGCATTTGATCAAGTTGTAACCGTCATGAAAAAAATAATCGACCGGTCGAATTCAGTTCATGCAGATATTTCGACATGAAGTCGAGTGTCCAACAAATAAATACTTTGTCATTGTTTTTTTCGAAGCTGTGAAAATTGGTATGTTTGAACTTGTATTTGGACATGCTGTTCGATTTCAATATTGAATCAACAATTTTAATGGTTGCTATCGGTAATGCTGGGATATTTGAGTGTAGCATCCTTCGAAAGTTTGACTTAAAATACCTACCGTCATCGCTAACTAGGAAAGGAAAATTAAAAAGGCAAGCAATTTCATTTCCTTCAATCAATTAAGAAGGTTTTACGAAATGGCAACAAAACATTGACGCTCAAATGTGTGCTAGTTACTGTTGGACAAGATTTTAAAGTATAAACAAGACAAATGGAATGGATAAACTAAATTCACAAGGATAGGCATAACAATAACAGAGATGCAACAGGGCGTTGTTGACATTAAGATTTTCAAAATGCCGATAATTTCGAAATGTATTTATGTAGGCAAGAAAATGTCGGGTTGGCAAAACGCGTAATGAAATGTATGCTGAGTTTAAAGGTGTACAGATGCTTGCTCGATAACAAATACGAGACATGAAGCGTGTGATACCACTAACCAATGTTATTTCTTTCTTGTCATACATGTGTTGTCTGATAATATTTGAAATAAAAGGAAAATATCATAACCGGTAATGCCAAATGTAAAGTTTTGAAACGCATGATCGCATTAAAGTGGTGAAGCATGTAAAGTAGGTGACTGAGGTTGTGCCTGCTGGCTGTGCGTGAATGTGAATGGAGATTACAATTAAGGGTGAAGATTCTGATATCAGTAAACATGACATTGCGATTCGATCAAGGCGCCATCGGGATATAGTGCAGATTGATACACTATGTTATAATCCACATAAATATCTACGCATTTACGAAGACTTCAGCTATTTCCATTGCGTGTGTTATTTTCGCTACCGTTCAGTACGAATTCCCTGAATAAATATTAGTTTTCAGAAAGAATAGCTAGACTTACCGCGCTGGAATAGGAACATTTTTTTAAATGTAGCAAAATTGCTGACGAAATAAAATACACAGATTTGGATTCAAACCTGCTGTTGTCCTCGTTGATGTATCTGCTAATTTTATGGATGACATTCATTAACGTTGTTGTCCGTCTTCACGCAGATCCTACATCTTTGGCGCTCCACAAGAAAATATGAATCCGATTATACATGCTCAAACATCGAATAAAGTCGCTGCGTTAATCTTGATGGCCTACCACGTGTGCGTACTTTCACAGGATCACTAGCACAGGTGTCTGGAACCTCCAATGCGTACTCAAGAATTAGACGCTTGAGATATAGGGGAGCCTCGTCGTACTTATCTGCTATCCTCTTTAACGCCGTTCCGATTTTAATCGGCCTTGCCACTGTGTCATCATGGATCGGAATTGGCTTGTACAAGCCACAACTGCTGATCAAAAACTATTGAAAGATAGTGGTATCACTTGATGCCGGAAAGTGTGTGCACAAGGACAGAAAATTGTGGATAGCACTAAGCCGTATATATTTCTATTGAGTTGCGGTAATGGATTATTGTGCATATCATTCTACAAGTGATCAAACAAAAGTGGTGACGTACCCTGACATTCTTGAACATTCTTATGCTGCTGCAATCATTACCAATGAGCTGCAAGCAGACCTGCCACTATAATCTTTCCCATCAAACGTGATAATATAGGACCAAGATGCATTTGGCGATCACCCTATGCTTAGTACTTCGCTGCACAACGATAGCAGCTGAAGGAGAACCGTCGAATTTACCAATAGTAGGTCATTTAGGCTAAACAAATTGTCAGCGAATTCAAACTTAGACAGCGGAAAAGATTATTATACAATATGAGGAACCTGTA